ACATAAAGTTGTACATACCTCATTACACAAATTTTAAACATCAATATTTATACTTCTATAGTTCTATTTTACTGATCATTTCAGACTTTTTGACCTATTGATCAAGTCTACTGCTTTTATTAGTCTTTTATCTCAAGATTTTACCTTATTGTGTCCCACTTTGCTTAGTTTTCTTTTGATGCTTTGTCTACATTTTTAAGTAAAACACTCAGTTCATTTATTTTTAATTCTGTTGCTAATATATACACTTTTATCTTTTAAGACAGGATTTATTTATTTAGGCAGACCATCCTGGAACTCATGATTCTCTTGCCTCAGAGTTCCAAGTACTGTGATCATATAGGCTTTTGCCACCATGCCCTAATAGATACATTCGAGAGTAAATATAATTTTCCTTCAAGTACATCTTGCTATATATTCTCCATCTTTTCACTCCCCCTCCTCCTTACCTTCCCCTCTCCCTTCTCCCTAAGATCCCCTTCCCATCACTAGAGTCTACCTCTCTAGTTTTTAATATCTTTTATTTTGCTTTTCAAATTATTTATATTTTAGGTTTCTCATACTAGAGAAACCATGTAATATTTGACTTGTGTCTGCTTATTTCACCGAGTATTATTGGCTCAAGATTCATCCATTTTTCTACAAATGACTAAAATTTATCCTTCTTCCTTTGTCCATTTATCTACTGATGAGCATATAGGGCATTTTCATGATTTATAGTTTTCGATTTCCACCTGATTTTTCCACTAGTAAAGATTTTTTATATTTATTTATTTGACAAATAAAACCATATCCTGTACAACATGATGCTTTGAAACATGCATTGTGGAGTGGCTAAACTGAACTAACACATTTATTGTCTCACATACTTAACAGGTTTTTTTTTGTACCAGGGATCAAACTTGGGACCTTGTGCTTTCGAGGCAGGCGGCGGAACCACTGAGCTAAATCCCTGGCCCCATCAGTTGTGGGAACACTAAAGTCTATCTTAACCATTTTCTTTTCAAAAAAATTTTTAATTGACTATTACACATAAAAACCAGTAATTAATCAAAATGCAATTAATATAGATTTGCAAGCTTTTTGGCCATTATGTAAATATTAAAATGTTAAGTGAATTGTCAATTCAAAAATAAAAGCTTACATATATATTAAAAAAGCATAAATGGTCAAAGATGCACTATAAAATTGTGTGTGGAAAAAATTTGTATCAAATAATATCATAGCCATTTTCAAGAATACAATACACAGTTATTAGCTAAAGTTACTATGTTGCACAATAGATCTTCTGAACTTATTCCTCTTTAACTGAATCTTTTATCCTTGCAAACATTTTCCCAACTCCAGCCTCCACTGGAGTCCCTGGTAACAACCATTCAAGTCTTTGCTTCCATACAGAACACAAGGAGGGTTTTAATCTATTCAGGATAGACTGAACTTTCAAGGGGGTAGATTAGTTTTTCCTGTCTTGCTGTTCATTTCTAGTTTTCCTGCACCACATGAGGTCTGCACTGTGGGCTGCACAGATCTGAGGCTCCCCCTGGCACATCATCTGAGGAAGTTCTCCAGTGGTGAAGCTGCCACCAGTGTGAGGAGCTGAGCTCATCAGATAAGCTCACACTAACAGAAAAAGGTTTCTAAGTAATGTAGGATGCTGGTGGAAGTCCTGAACGTGGTTTTAGAGAATATTAGTTACTTTGACTCATATATTTCCATCTTTTATGCATCATGAAAAATGAAAGTCTCCCAGACCAATCCCAAACCTTGGAATGATTTTCTTTTGAGTCATCTCCAAATGTGCTTGACACTAATTTCACAGCTGCACCAAGCCCATTAGTGACCCATGAAAGTGGCTCATATGGCCTGTTCTCCTCCTTGATGCCAGCAAGTACAGAGCATGAAGAAGGTCTATTTGTTTGACATTAATACTGGTCCCCTGAGAGCATCTGAACCAGTATTCTGTGATAGAGCTCAGCATGGTTGTTTGTTTGTTTGTTTTAGTACCAGGGATCAAACTTGGGACCTTGCACTTTCGAGGCAGGTGGCGGAACCAATGAGCTAAATCCCCAGCCCTCAGCATGTATTTTTTTAAAGAACTTCACAGAGGATTCTGATCCATGGGAAAGTTGAGAATTGCTGTTTTAATAAATTTTGTTAAGTTAAAAAATGTTAACAGAAGTACAAATTTCCATTCCTTAATACTCACAACTTTCTGAATCTCTCTCCAGAGGTTACAATTGCTTATTAAACCATGTCCTATGTTCTCTCTGTAAGAACAATACAACACAAAACAAACCCCTACCCTTTCATCTTTTCATTCATCTCTGAATTTCTCCAGCGATGGCAATATCATTTTTTCTCATTTCTTCCTGAAAACTCCATGCTCTTACTTCTGCTCTTGCTACACTTCTTTTTGTCATGAACCTTGATGACACATATCCATTCAACAAACATGTATGCAGTGCCAGTTATGTTCCCCGTACTATTTCTGGCACTAGAAAGTACCAGTAAAAAAATTCGACAAAAATCCCTATTCTGATGGAGCTTACACTCCAGTGGAGTGAGAAAGAACAGTAAGCATAGATAAATTACATAGTACATTAAGAAGTAAGTATTGTGGACCAAATAGACCTTGGGACAGGGGATCGAGTGTTGGGGTGGGGCATGGAGGAAAGTGAAATGTTAGAGTGGTCTAGGAGGGCCTCAGACATTTAGACAAATTCTTGAAGGAGGTGAATAAACATCCTATTGTCCCAGATTGTAGGCACACTGAAAACAGGGACTCTGTTCTTCATTGAAGTGCCAGCACCTGCAACAGGTCTAGAACACAACTACAAATATAGCTATGATAATAGTTGATTATGCACATTAGGATGGCAAAGAACATCAGCCATAATTATTACTTATCACTTTTTTCCAGATGTTTTTGTAGAAATGCAACTTGGCAGGTTAGTTTTGCAGATTGGGAGGATACGACCACACCACACCACACACACACACACACACACACACACACACACACACACGCACACATCATTACAGACTTTGGAGAACTTCATGGGAGTGAAGTATTGCACAGGGCAAGGCTGTGTGCACCTTGTAGGTGTGTAATTCCCCTTTCCATGGGGTAGGCTTGTGTCCCTCAACTCTGCCTCAACTCTTGTTTAGCTGCAAAAAAAGTCCCTATACATTTTTTCTCAGCTTTACACCACCATTGCGGAAGAATTATGGTTCTTTACAATAGTGAAAGAAGAAAGAATTTATCTTCTTTCATTACAATGAATGTTTACAACCACAAAGGTCTTCTAATTCTAGAAAAAAACTCAGAATCAACAAGGCCATCCTCAACTGGCAATGAAAGCAGAGTCAGGGTCCAAGTGTTCTAGAAAAAAATCTGCACGTCTCCAGTTTCCCAAGGTTGTGGACAATCCTCCTCCTTCCAAAAAGTTAACCAAAAATATTTGCATTTAGAATTAAGCCCACAAGTGAAAAATGTGTATGTTAAGTAAGTGATCATTTTCACTGTGACAAAGGAAGGTGGGATACAGTTTAAGTTCCTTGAACATCATGATGGACAAAGTCATTTTTTTTTAATACCAGAGATCGAACTCGGGACCTTGTGCTTGCAAGGCAGGCGGCAGAACCACTGAGCTAAATCCCTGGTCCCACATCGTGATGGAGAGAACTGGCTTTACTCACTGTTTAGGATAGTAATTAATTAAAGAATCAAGTTCATGTTAATATTGCTCCTGAGACCACTGACAGGTAATGTCATCATCACAGATTTAAACACAGTCCAGTTACAAGTGGCAAATTGTCATTATACTACAGTTAAGTTGCATATTTAAACACTTGTTTTACTCAAAAGTGTCTTCAGGATGTTTTCAAAAGTTGCATCAAACTATACTTAAAAAGCATTATTACTTATTACTGAGAATATCTTTTGATGTTAAATGGTTTTCTATTCCTAAAATACAGGTGTTATCCTTTGCATTATTTCTTTAATAACAGCTTTAGTGAGATATGTAATTGACATACCATGAAATTCACCCTTTGGAAATGTACAGTTCATTGATTTTAGTATATTTACAGAGTTGTGCTACTATCACCCCTATGTAATTTTACTACTCAAAAACTAACCATATATCCATTAGTAGTCTCTCCTTGTTCTCCCTGTCCAGGTTTCTAGTAACCACTAATTTCTGTCTCTATGGATTTGTCTATTTTAGACATCTATCAGTACTTCATTCTTTTTATGGCCAAATAATATTTCATTTCACAGATATACCACATTTTGTTTGTTCACTCATCAGATGATGGATATTTTTACTTTTTGGTTATTAAGAATAATGTTTCTGTGGACACTGTGTACAGTTCTTGGGTGGACATGTTTTCAGTTTCTTTGAGTATGCACCTAGGAGTGGATTAAGAGCCCTTTAAGGATTTAGTTAGTGCAGAATGAAAATAAATTCAAACATTTATTGACTGGTTTGTCAAGCCTGAGATTAAAGATACATAATAAGGGAAAAATGAGTTCCCAAATAACAATAGTCAGAACACAGGTAATAGTATAGAGTAATGTTTACTGACCTTGCTTCAGTTTAAGTAAATTTTAATACTGTTCCAACTACTTGGAGAGATATTTTAAAACACTAAGAGAACAAAATTATAAATCTGTTTTCCTCTTCCATGGCAAAAGTTTTTAGAGTGAAAAAATTAGTGTTTAATAAGGATGCAACTGAGTTACTGATTAGTGATTCCAATAATATATATCATGCACTGTGTATACATACCTATTCTTAAAATTTTAAACTATATTTTAAGAATTTAAAGTTACTTAAAATGATACTGATAAGCCTGGTGAAGTTTAATAACAGAAATATAAGGATATACTTCACAAAACTGGAGAACTTCTTTATATCAGAGGCCAGAATCTTAACCCCTGGCAAATAACTTGCTACTTTCATTTGAGCATAAAAGAAATATGTCTTTTGAGAAAATATGGTTAAAATTATTTTTGTATTCTTAATGCAAAGACAGCACAGTAAGAGTTAAACTAATAGGGTGCCCTTTAGTTTGAAAAAAATGTCAAATTCTTCAAGTTTTTCTACCTTTAAACTCAGATATACAGTAAATTACAAATGTGGGGACACAAAATAATATTTCCTGTAAGGTGAACATTTCTATAACTTAGCTGAATTTTTTTTCAGTATTGATTTGGTAAAAATTTCTCCAAGTTTCAAAGAATAAAAGAAATTACAAAGTTCACATGTAGAGTGCTAGAAAAAAGAATAGCCATTATGTATGTAATAGCTGCCATTTTTGAAGCCTGGTTTTGGCTGCAGAACTACAACAGCAATCTTGCTTCCCCACCCATGTAATTTTCCTAGTTATACTTGCATAGTACTCTATTATAAAGATAGAATTTTTGGAAAAAAAGAAAAAACACCAAAGTCTTGTGCAACCTATGGCTTTTACTTTTTATTGCCATTATATAAAGTACGTGAAAAATATTAATTATTACTCAACCTCTTTGTCTGCTTCCTATTGCCAGATACCTTAAATAGGAAAGAAAGGGCAAGATAACAAAATTAATTCTACTTGCTACATTAAAGGCAGACATTTCAATGTTTTATTTGCAAAGAGTCAATAGCAAAAGTTACAACTATCAAAAGAAAGAAAACGATCACTTAAACACCTCCCACGGTCCTGAATTTTTCCATAGGGAAAAAGTAAATGTGAACCTAATACAGGAAGAATTACTTTTTTCTTTTCATAAACTTTTTTGCTTCTTTCAAAAGTTCTTCTACATCTTCCTGTTCTTGGTCTTCCTTTCCTGGTTCCCAGTCAGAATCTTCATCTGTCAGCTCATACTCTTCTTCCTCATCATCTAGAAAGCTGTCATTCAGGTCATACTCATTGGGCTGTCCAACAGCATCATCTTCATCTGAAACACTTCTCACTGACAAGTAGAATATTGGTATGCAACATATCAATTGCCATTCAACCTCAGATTAGAGATGTTCTCTGTAAAATGTCTTTCCACATCAAAAAGAATTTTATTAGTAGATAGCTTAACACTACAAATTTTTTAAAAGGGCACTAAAATGATTGTTTGTTATTTATGATACTAACTTTTCTTATCATGAAGTTCTGGGAGTAAAATGGCCCGTAAGAGTCAAAATTATGGTTCCTTAGTAACATCATAAGTCATGCTACCCTACATTACCATGTGGTAGAAGGTACTTTGTTCCAGTTACTCAGTGCCCCTTCCTGTGATAACACTATACACACACACACACACACACTCCACTGAACTGACTCGGCCAGAGGAACATGAGCAGAAGCGTGTTCCCCACTTCAAAGTAGAAGCTTTGAGTCTTTCTGTGGTTCTGCTTGGCCATTTCCCCTCTGCCACATGAACAGCATGTTCCAGATAAGGGCTGATCCCTCGGCCTGAATTCCAGAGTGAAAATATACATGGGGCAGAGCCACAGGCAACTCATAGGTGCACCATGAAGGAGAAATACACCTATTTGTTGTTGTAAGGTACTGAAATTTGGGACGGTTTGTTTTCATAGTAAATCTAGCAAAGTCTGGCTTGGCACACTAGGATTGTAAGCAAACAAGAAGATACAACCTTCGGTACTTAGGAAAGTTAGTATTATGGCTCTAAGATTTCTTATAGTTCATGTTTCAGTAAGACTCATGGTAACAGCCATTAGAACATATATATATATATTATATAT